TGCTGCAGCTCCAGGTCGGCCCAAGGTCGCATCCAAGTGGAGCTCCGCAACACGGGTCTGGCTCACGACCGCGAAAGCGCCGACGTGGCCCCGCGGTGCATCGATTGGTCTCCCCAACTCGTGCTCTGCTGAGGCTTGACCGTGCGAGAGTAGTGGGAAGAAATCAAGTGCTACAGGTCGCTCAAGTAGCTCGGCAAAGGACCACATTAAGAACGAAACCCATAGGGTAATTACGGTAATACACCGCCTGACCTGAATTTGATCCTGTAAAAGTACGGTCTTGCTCTTTTTACCGTAAATCTTACATTGCTACGAAAGTATTCTAGACAATCCTGATGTAATTGGCACCGTAGCCCAAGCAAAGGCCAATGTAACAGTGTCATTTCTGCATGGCGCGTACAAATCCGCATAAAAACACTTGTCTCCGCATACCAGCATGTGGTTTCGCAGGAAGTAGCGTATATTTACGGTAAAATTGCTCTGGACAGCGTGGTTTTGATTACGAACACCATATCAGGTACAAGTACCACACTATATCAGATGAAGCGTATAGTGTGTGTACTTTATTGGAAAATACCCATCGAATCAGGATAAGCCAGGGCAATGTCCGAAACGTACGCTTCAAACAGGCTTTTGGTGCGCCATCGTCGACACTCGATCCCGTGACTATACAATTGTACTTGCACGGAGGAACCGACGCCCGGCCACACCGACCTTACGTCGCCGAGTACGTCACATTGCGCAACGACAGCCTACTCGCAACGACTCTAGCCAGAAGAAACATACGGGCCACACACTGGGCCACACACGACCGGTACGGGGCCAGCTCGCGTCAGCGAAAGCGCACGAGTTTGTTCGATCGTCTATCCAAACCAGCCCCATCGCGCTCCGACTACGTGGCAATTGTAGAAAAAGCGAATGCGTGCGTCGAGAGTTAGGTTGCTTGATAAACGACTTTAACCCTATTGGATTGAACGTAGAAAGGACGACCATTATTTTCTGTACATCTCGTTGTGTACCCTCTGACAATATTGATGCGTACAAATTAGCAAGTTGTACACAATAAGACCAATCTTCAAAACATTAGACGAGCTGCCACGGCGACGAGACACGAGACGGCGACGAAAAGGTATGCTCCGACACCACGTACTGGAGCTGGTGCGTTCGAATGAGGTCTCGGATGTTCTCATCGCCGTCCAGACGGTGGCCCGACCAAATGCTGCGTTGCGCAAAATCGGCGCCAAAACGCAGCGTGACATTGCGGCACGCCCCGAGTGCTGTCAGCAGCCCGGGCGCCGACGCAATTGTCATGTTGTTGGCGAACAAGTCGACCGTCAGCGGTCGTCGGTTCTTGCCAGAGGCGAGCGCGACCGCAAGGACAATCGCGTCCTTGTCATGGAGCCCTGTGTTGTCGAGGCGCAGAGTCTCAAGGCCACGGGCCATCCACGCGGGCAGCGCGCGCGCCAGCGCCAAGACCCCTTCTTCCCGAGCACGGTGCCGCTCAAGTCGACAAGTTGGAGTTGGCGCGACGTGGAGAGCCAGCGCACGAGGGTCGCGACAAACTCTGCATTGCACGTCAATCGACACAGTGAGGCCGTCGAGAGGTGCGGGCAGACGCCCGTGAAGTGGGCGCCGGGCAAAAGCCAGTGGTAGAGGGTCACCGATTTTAGCGACGAACACGCGCTGAGGGCGTTCGCAATGTCGTAGAGCGGAATGACGATCTCACGCGTGTTGCGGACGCTCAGGTAGCGGAGCGAGGGCCAATCCACCTTGCCGAGGATATCGATCGCATGCTGCGTGGCATCTTGGCTCAATGCAAGCGCTGTGATGCGATGCAACGCGTGATGCGACGCCGCCAAGGCGGCTCGAACGTCCGCAGCATCCACGAGACTCAAGGAAGACAGCGCTGGCGAGGTCTGGATCGCGCGGG